GCAGGGGGGTTCAAACTAGAGGATCTTTAAGGTCCCTTCCAACCCAAACCATTTTATCATTCTATGAGTTGAGGTTTAAAGAGCAGTTGTGAAGTTGTTTGGGGGTTTTTGAGATCCTGCTTTGGCCAGATGCCAGTTGCTAAACTGACTCTTACAATAGCTACCAAGGAATTTGGTGATGGTTTATTGCCTTAAATACTCATCTGTGTCATGTTGCACCTCAGAGCTTGGCTGTATAATCAGAGGTACAAAAGGAAAAGTGTAATGTCCTCATGTATATATCCCCTACAAGGAAGGAAATGTTTTGGTATTGAAGCATCATGAAACATACCTCAGTTAATAGCTGGTTTTAAATAGTTATTGCACGCCAGCCGCTTGGCAAGTGCTGCAGGCAGTGGAGAGTGAAGTGTGGCGTTTCTCTAATTTGCAATGTTAATGATCCAATTTAAGTCATGTAAAGTTAGCACAAGATACCAAACCTATAAATGCATGTGATAATAGTGATGGCTTATGTGCGTGAGAAGAGCCTGGAGGGAAATACTGTGTTAAATATACTCTATCATGATTGAAAGGAAAGGACCAGGGGCTGCTTGTGCTGCTGGTTTCTTGGAGGAAAATCTAACAGAAATCATGTAATTGCTCCCATTTTTCTTTCTTGTTCCTCAGTTGCTTTCCCAAAGTATTTGGTCTACTTACTGAATTGGTGCTTCCTCAGTTACCATAGACTTCATCATCTAAAAAAAGAGACTTTCTTCCCTGTGCTGCAAATGTCATTTTTGATTAGGAAAACAGGCCTCTGAAACGTCTTGTTCCCCCCTTTCCACAGCTTACGCCTTTCTGTTTGCTGCATTTTGTTCAGCTTGAATGTGGCAGTCGAACAGACCCTTCGCAGCCAGGGCTCCCAGGGAGCATTTCAGTGCAAGCACTGCGGTACACACAGACAGACTGGCACTTCTCTTCTGCCCCTATGTGAAACAAAGCAAAGATCCAAACTCCTTATTACTTGACAGTGAGTTGAGCTACCCTGACTGCAGGTGTACACAGTAAAAAAGTCATTTCAGCAACATTCTGGTTCAATTAATAAGACTTGAGGTTTTAATCATGCAGCAATATTAATACTGGTGGCTTTTCAATTGCTGAAAATATGGTTTCACATACCAGCTTGTCTTAGAATTATAAATTAATTGGGTTCAAAGTCTGGATCTTGTAGTGGATATTGCAGGCCTAAGTTGTTAACTGTTAAATAAGATGTGTTCAACAGTTGCTCAGAGAAGAAAACCAGCAATGCTGTAACTGGTGCATTGGCAGAGCTAGTAGAAAGTCAATAAACAGTTGCTGTTTATTGCTTTGTTGAAACTGAGTCAGTAGCTATCAGAATGTATTTCAGTGTATCAGTCACTGTGCCATCAAAATGCCATTTATTTTCACTTTGATATGGGGTAGTGACGCTGAGATGAGCAGTTAGCGCTCTGGATCCAGCAGTATGCACATGTTGATGAAAAGTGACAACCACGTCTTCCTGGGAGCCTTCTGCTCTGGTTGCCCTGTGATTCTGCAGTTCTTTCAACACATGAAACTTAGAAAAAGATGGTTTTCTTCAGCTCACACAGAGAGAAGGTGAAGGCCAGCCGTGGTCCATGGCAGTGGGTAGGGGAGTTTTGAGAACCTCTCATTCACAAGATAAACTGGTGTTCTGCCTAAATGAGTCTGGCTTAGAAGCAGGCTCCTTTTCTCTTAAGACAGATGGGGGAAAGGGACCTAAAAAGATCAGGGATCTTACCAGCTTGCAGCAAATCCAGATCAGGCTGCCTCAAAACAGGATCAGCTCTGTTGACCTTCTGTGTGACAAATTGGTTTCTAACCCAGGCTTAAAATCCTCCAGCAACAGCAATGCCACAACTTCATCAGTCAAATGTACAGGTCCTTAGCCTTACCTCTACAGTTTTCTCTGATATTTCTGTGCAACCCTGCTGCAATTTAAGGTAATCTTTTCTTGTTCTGGTGATCAGAAATGTGAAAAAAAAAAATTACTCAATTTTTCTCAGTAGCAGCCCTTTCTGTATCTGAAGACAGCTATTGTATCCCTCCTTAGTCTTTCCCTTTCTTCTCTGAACAACCCCATTCTTCCAGTGTTCCTGGATGATTGTAGCTTCTAGCTTTTATCTGTAGGACTGCTGAGGGGATCACATCTGCTTGAAATAATGGGCTCCAAAACTGTATGTTTAAGCTGAAGCCTGAGGGATGCAGAGGAGAGCATGAGAGAGTCTTTTGTGAGGCTTGCAGGTTCCATTCCAGCTGTACATCCCCCTGTTACTCTTTCCTTTTTCTTGCTGAACATGCCATTATTGACAATAGTTCATCTATATGGTGGATTCGGCTTGATCCACTATAAATCTGACAGCCTTTGAGCCTCTCCTTTTATGCTGTTTCTTACATAGATAGACTGTGCATCTTGGTTCCCAGTAGTTTTGTTCCTGGTGGTTTTTTTTAAGCACTTTATGTTCATAGATATTTGATGTCTATATTGTAGTGATGCCTAGAGGCTGCAGAGGTCTGTGGTCCAAAACACTGTGAGGTTGTGCTTTTACATACCCGCCTGTGCACATCAGAGTCGTCTGCCCAGAAGCCTGCTGCCTAGAGCTGCATTTCTCAGGATAACCTACTGCAGTACAGCTTGAGGCAGGGTGAATCTGCAAACAGCATAGGATTTTCTGTTCCCAGGGCAGAGAGACTGAAGGCATAAATATTTATTAGCAGGAGCAATGTTCTAGCCCAAAAGTCTGCGATGACAGCATGGGAATGACAGGAACTTCTTGGTGACCTGAATGTACCCCCTGTGTTTGGGGTACATGCAGTTTCTCACCTGTTTTTCTGCTCACTAAGTCAGTCTCTCATGCACAAAACATCTATCAAGTTTTCCAGACTCAGTGTTTGATGTGGAAACGAAGCAAAACACTTGGGCTTGTCCTTTCGTGTTAGCATTTGTTTGCAGTGTGTGATCCACATGGGCAGCTCCAGAAAGCAGGAGTTGACTGAGCTGCAAGTGCTCACTGTAGGCTGTCACAGACATGTTGGTACCGAGACTTCCAGCATCCTTAAGTTGGACAGAAGACAACAAGCACATAATCAGTTATTACGGGAGAGACACAAAGGTAGCTGAATGATACTCCTGAGCAGCCAGCTAATACTGTTTCACCTGATGATGATCAGACCAAAGCCTCTGAACTGTGGAGAGAAGTGGTGGTAAAGCCCTGTATATTGGGTCTTTCCTTGAGATTAGAGGGTAAGGGCAATCATGCCCCTCTGCTTTTATCAAAAAGTAGGGCTGCTTTAATGATCATAGAATTTCTCACAGCAGAGTGGAGAACATTTTATTAGGGCTGTAAAAATGACTGATATTTAGGATTGGGAAGGGTCAGCAGATAGAGAGACATCTCAGTTTCCAGCTATGTTTCTAAGGGGCAGCTGAAGTCCACAGAAACTGCATGTGCCCATTCCCTTCCACATGCACTGGGGTCCCAGAGGATTTGCAGGGTGGAAAGCAGAGGCTTGTTAGGCTTGCAAGATGTCAGAAGTGTTGAGTGTAAATGAAGACAAAGGAAGCTGCATTTTGCAAGGTGCTACAAGGGTGTGTTTGTACCGAGCACCCAGCTCCATTGCTGAAGGTGTAACTGCAGAGTGTGCTGGCTGTTGGGGGCTTTTCCCCCCCCCCCCCAGTCAGTGTGGGTTACTGGGAGAGGTAGACAGTAAGAGGAAAAAGGCTCTTGACCTGGTGCATTATGGCAGATGATGTGTTTCTTGCCAAGTACTGCAAAAAAGAAAGGGGGGATTTAAAAAAAGAGAATTAAGAAAAACCCTGCTGAGCATGCCATCTTCCTTAAACCCCTGATTTCAGTTTAAAGTGGTTTCAGCTTCTCTCTGTGCTGTTGCATACCAAGGATTCACAGCACTCCTGCTCCATGAAGGTTCACTGGAATTTATTTCTGATGTTCAGAAACGGCACGTGGTACACACCATAGGACATGGCTGTACCTAGCAGGAGGGCAGTTTTCAAGGTCCATTGTGTTGACACTATAGAAGAAAACAAACTAGTAAGGAACCACCCCACCATTCGAATGCTGTGGTTGTGCATGCCCAATTCAGCTATGAGCATCGGGGGAGAAGACTTTGATTAAACTCTGGCCCCAGCCAAATGTTCATGAAGCGGCCTGATTGAACGTATTTTTTCCCTTGCAATGAAGACATAAGGAGGCTTCAACAAAAAATTCCCTTAAATGTATTACATTCCTTTAGCCATTTAGAGCCCCTGCAGCCACATCTCGGCACTTGCCTTTTGATTGAGAGTGTTGTGTTCCCCTCAGCAAGCAGAGAGAAATCACATCATCCAGCCTGAGCCCGGTCACGCTGTGTAGCCGAGATTTTGATGTTGGGGTCAGAGCTGAATTCATTGGTCTAGGGAGGCTTGTAAAAAAGGACAAAATTGCCAAGTGAATTCCAATAGCGAAAGCCTACGGTGAGTGTCAGTGTGCTCATAGGCATTCACAAGCAAAAGGCTAATTAGTCAAATAAATGTTTCTCTGGGTGGGTGAGCTATATAGAGAGAAATGCACCCATTCAGTATGCACAGAAGCAAAGCATGTTCATGCAAAGAGGCAGCTCCAGCCGAGCTGCCGTGGGAATGCTGTCGTTCTCACAGCCGGGGTTGTTACTATGGAGCCCTGCGCGTTGCTGCAGAACGTGTATGAAGTGATGGATGGGAAATACGACAGTGCCTGGGCACTCCTGGGCCAGGGATAGATACCCACTGGCACTGGGGACATGGCTCTAGCCCGCTTGGTTTCCTTTTGGATCTGTTTTACTCTCTGGAGGGAGCGGGCCTGGCCCGTGCACGCAGTGGTGGTCACCTGGGCTCTGCTGGTGCTTTGTGATCCCTCTGCGCAAGTCGTGGGACTGTTGTGTGGCCTTAACATGTTCCCCTGCGGATCTGCTGTAGAGGTTCCATGCTGCTGCGGCGGAAAAGTGTTGTTCCAAAGCTTGGAGATGGATTCCTGGCATGGACTGGCATTATTATGGACTCTGCTGCTGTGTCCTTCATCATTGCAACCTCCAGTGTCAGAGGCAGGGATGCAGTCTCCACCAGTTGCCTCATCTATAGTCAGTGGGTAGAGGGAGACACATCTCCAAGGATGGATTAATCTCCTTTTAAGATGAGTGTCTAAGGATAGAATGAATTGCTCTTTGAAAATCATCTTTGTTTTGTTTGGAAGTCTACGAAGCTTTTCTATTTGTTTAATCTAGAGCCCGACTTTGAGATTGCTCCAGCTGAGTCCTCTAGTCCAGGACCAGAGTCCGAATCCTCAAAGTCACCTCAGAACATTTCTCCCCTCCCTCTGTTCATGCAAATGGACATCTAATGTCACTGGCAGGTTACCCACAAGGAAAAGCTACTGTCAGCATATCGGCTTCAGAGAAAAGTAAGGGCTGGCTTTTGATTTAAAGAGTTTACACATAATTTTAACAATGTGAACCTGAGCTAGTCTAGGTGGCCAGGCCCCTTCTCTGCCATGTCAACTTCTGGCTGTAAGCTCATGTGGCTCTATGCTGGACTGCACCAGCACAGGAGGCAGCATGTGGCCATCACACCATGTCCTTCACCACAACATGTCCACTCCCATGCCTTCCTGCAGACAGCAAACTAGGCCTGCAAGGACTTGTTTGTGTTCAGTTGCACTAGGAAGTGTCCAGTGCTTGGAGTCATGTTCCTTAAAAATTGCTGTATCCTGCCTTTTCCCAGACTGTCAGAGGAAAGATTCTCATCTGGGAAGCGTGGACTCAGGTGTTGCCACTTACCACCTTACACATGCCACTTGGAGAGGTTCTAGCATGTCTGAGAGATAGCCGTGTCCTTTGTACTATCTGGTCATCCCCACGAATATCCTTTCCTACAGCCTGGATTCTGGTCTAGCCCCTTCAGCTGGGTTTGTTGGAGATGGATCCCGTGTTACAAGGATACCACAAGAACTGGTCTTCGGTTGAGATCATATAATAGATTCTGACACAGAAAATAAGGATGGCTCTTTCAGGTCAGATTAAAGGTCTCATCTACCTCTGTGTTATGTGCCCAAGAGGACAAGAACAGGATGAGCCTGCAGTGATGCTTCCCTGGTTCCCCGCTCCAGCAATCTGTGCCTGGGGGCAGCCTGACCCAGAATCAGTGCTTTTGGATTTGATGGATATTCCTTCCATTCATTTTTCTCACCCTTTCCTGAGCCGCTTTTAGCATCCACAGCAGCACATCATCTGCTGTATAGAGAAGTACTGAGTTTGTTTCCAGCTGCTGTGTGTTAACTGCCACTTGATATCTCATGCTTGTAAAAAATAAGGGCTAGTTGATGCCTTTTCACCTTCTCACCCCACTCAGGATTATGCCGACTTTTCCCAGAGCGCCCATCCATTGTCCTTCCCTGGCTGAAGTGTACTGGTCTGTCTAGCTGGTCATCTGATGGAACCGGTTGTCCGAGACCTCTTCCTTGAGTGACAGTAGCTAGCTACAGCTTATCATTTTAATTTATACAGTTGGAATTGTTTTTCTTCTCTGTACCCCTTTTAGCTTCATTTAATTTCAACTGCTGTGTTTTTGCCATTCAAGTGCTGTATTTTGTCATTTACTGTGGATACTAAAGTAGGATTTTTAACCTAAAGTGCATGTGATTCATCATTTATACCTAGCTATGCTTTCCTGGAGACTGGCTTGCTTGTTTGCAACCTGCTCTAACCTGTTTCTGCTGCATTAGAGGAAAAGTGCAGCAGTGACTGCTTTAGAGGAAAGCAGAAGAAATTGCATATAGTTCAGCATTACCTATTTAATGTCATTGAATGCAAAGTCTTGTAAGCACCATCCATTTTAAGTACTGTTGAAGTCTATTGGATAGTGCAAAGGAGCAGAATTTTGATAAAACATTATGACCCTACATATGTTATTTGACTAGTTTCTATGAAGATAGAGCCTAGTTCAAGAGTCAAATTTTATCTCATAAGCACAGTGTATTAAAAAGAGCTAACATGCACTGCAGAGAGAAGGCAGGCACTGGGGAGAAAGGGACAGTGTATTACCAAGTGATTTTTTTACTGAGAGTGAAGAGCAATGGTACCTTGCTTTGAAACTCAGAGGCCCTGCCTTGCATACAGGTGTCAGTGCCAAATGATAAGTTGCATTTTTATAAGAAAGTGTGTACAAAATACAACCTCCAGAAACTGAGAGATGGACAATATCAATTCACCAGTTTGGAATGGTGTTTTCTAGTATTTAGTTTCTGATGCTTTGTTCCATTTCTTATGAAGTGATGGTTTCTTCAGATATTGGACCTAATGTTGGGTGTTTGTTTTCCCTGTGCAGCTCTACCAAATCCAAAACATCCAAATTTACACACACATCTATGTGTGTGTATATATATGTATATATGCATGTTCAATTTAGCTTCTAGCTTCTAGGTGGGAAGAAGTGAACATGTTTGAAAACCAGTTTTAATTTTCTTTATGGTGCTAAGTAGGGATAGTTCCAGCAGGTTTGAAGTTTGCTGTGAAAGGACTTTAAATATTTTTAGCGGTGGTAGAACTGCCTGAACTGGTGTCTTGTCTCTCTCTGAATCCTTTGATGTGCTGTACCATAGAGTACACTACCTGGATTAGGTTGTCTGCAAGTAGGTGTGACAGAGTGGACTCTGTGTTTGCGGAGCTTTGGTTTTCAGGGAGATTTCAGTGACAATGAAAGGTGCTGTGCTGACAGATACTGAAATTAAATCTTTCAGGTTAGCCACAAAATTGGTCCAGCATGGGAAGTACAGGTTTCTTCATCCCTCTCCCATGAGGAACCAGAGATTGAATTCTTCTACTCATTCAATCCTTGTTCCTTCCAAGCTGGGTTTTCACACAGGCGGTCATGAGCTTTTTAGTTTTAATCATGAGGATGGCTGGTCCACTTGGAACTTGGCTAAAACTGTAAATGCATTTCACACAATGCCTCAGAGAGTCATCACATGAAAATGGTTTGGGACTACTGCCAGCCCAGACTGAATTTGAACTGATGACCCACCTTCCACATTATATTCCCAGTATCATCCATCATATAAGTCTGGTGTTGAAATCTGGCATTTCCAGAGGTACTTTTAGCATACTAAATGTGCTTCCAAAGTTCTGTGTTTTGCCCTAGGTTTCAGCCGTTTGAAACACTGGCAGGTTCTCTGCTCCCTCTGAATGTGGGTGGGAATGGACTTGCCTAACAGCCAGTTAGAGAAGACACTGCATAAATTTTAGCTAAACCATTCCATTTTGTTTCCTTTTCTTTCTTAACAGGATCCAACAGCTGCATCTATTTCGGACAGAGATTGTGATACGAGAGAGGGAGAGACTGTAGCCATGAACTATAAGCCGTCCCCACTTCAAGTGAAATTAGGTGAGTCTTTGCTGGTGGAGAGTGAAAAGGCTAAATCCAAGGTCTGAAATACAGTGAGGTGCTTGTGGGATCGTATGCAGATCTCCCTGCATGTGGCTGAGCATGCCAGCTCATCTCAAACGACTCACAGAGCAGTTTTATCATTGTGATTCTGCTGCTGAGGGAACTGACCTACAAACATGTAAGGACCCTTTATCTTGGGCTGTGGTAGATGAAGGAAGCTATGCCTTGAAAGGAAGGCGTAGCTCTTTAAACCTACAGATTTTTATCAAGCTAAGATCAAGGCTTGGCCAGATAAAGAATGAAGATAATATAGGACTGTAAAAAGAAGACAGAATAACTGCAAACAAAAGGGAAAGGATCAGAGACTTGGGCCACTACCAGGAAAAGGCAGAGCTGTGTTACTGTGAGATGGAGGGCTTCTAGGTCTGTAAAGATTCACATACAAATACTCATGCTATTTCTGAGCAATATTTTTTAAGTTCTGGAAGCAGAAACATCCAACTAGCAGAATACACTGCTTTCTCGCAAGGCTAATGCTTACAAGCGGACAGCAATCCACACATGGCTGTCCTTCCTCCAAAACCTGAGCGACTAGTGTGCCACACAGCCTCAAGAACCTGATGAAGGGCAAGTCAAAGGAACAGTGTGCTTTTTGCTCAGAGCATGGATAAAAAATGGGAATCTGAGTCTGGAAAATTTCCCAGTAGGAGCAGGAAGCAGTGCTCTGGTTGTCCTTCACATCAGAACAAATTACACTGAGAGGATGCTGCTGTGCCATGTTGGGGAAGGCTCTGAAAGAAGTGGGTGTCCACCTGTTCAGTGGAATAGCCCTGGCCCCTACCAAGTGAGTGATAGGGAAGGTCAGCAGACAGCTAAGGTTTGAAGAAGATCTGGGAAGGTTTGGGCATTGGTGTGTGATTATGAAGGGGTGTTCTCTATAGATAGGTTTTACCCAGGGACCTGCACTTCTGCTGCAAATACTAGTGTTGGCCTCATTTATAAGAGCAGCCTTAAAGAAACACCAGGAGAAGGCTGGGGAGCACCTGTGAAGTCTCAAGGGTCTGCCTGAGTACATGGCAAATTGAGTAATTGGACAAATCTGGTCATAGCAGTACAGAAAGCAATGTCACAGAGTAGACCCATAGATGGCAAAGGAAAAGAAAGTAGTGGAATAGGCAAGATTTCAGTGAAAAAGTGACTAGAAAGGAGAAGACAGAAAGTTGGATATGCAAACGCAGCCAGATTATGAGCAAAGTGGAGGACCTTGAGGTACTGATACAGGCTATGAGCAAGTGTTGAGACACAAGATCTGTCCTGCAACCGCAGTCATGAATACTCTAAAACCAGTGGCAGTTTTTCAGAAAAAGGCAGGGAGCAGCAGTATGTGTTAATGACAGCACAACTCACAGTTTGGTAAAAGATTATCACTGCCAGCATGCCATATGCCACCAGGATCCTTCTTCACTGCCGAGAGAGTTCTGTAACGTTATTAGAGAGATAATTACTACTGCAGTAGTTGGTTTGGATAATTTAACATCAGGAATCAGATTGGAGAGCAATTTATAGTGTTATTGGTAAGTCTGAGATATTTTTGCATTTCTAGGCAATAAAAATATCCCCCACAGATTCGCTAACATGACAGGAAATGTTGCTATTTTTTAAACTTGGCTTTAGTAAGTCATGAGGACATCATAGGAGATGTGATCGTAGGAAATAGATTTGGATTCAGGGATAACAAGTTCAATTCATGCAAATCAAATGAAAAGGCAATTTGCGGTAGATCTGTAACAAACCTCAGTTTTATAAACTAAGTGCTTAAGCAAAGCCAGTAGATTAAGAAACCTAGGAACTCAAAACACATCAGGTCGTGTTGAAGGAGAAAGTATCAGAAGAAAGGACATTGCTAATGGAGTTCTCCAACAGTCATTTCATTTATATATTTGTTGTGGTTTAACCCCAGCCAGCAACTAAGCACCACGCATCTGCTTACTCACTCCCCCCCCACCCAGTGGGATGGGGGAGAGAGTCAGGAAAAAAAGGTAACACATGTGTGTTGAGATAAAGGCAGTTTAATAGGAGAGAAAGGAAGAAAATAACAACAACAATAATAATAATAATAAATAATTGGAATGTACAAAACAAGTGATGCACAATGCAGTTGCTCACCACTCGTGGACTGATGCCCAGTTAGTTCCCGAGCAGCGATCCACCCCCACCCCCCCGCACTTCCCCCAGCCACCTCCCCCCAGTTTATGTACTGGACATGACATCACATGGTATGGAATATCCCTTTGGCCACTTTGGGTCATCTGCCCTGGCTGTGTCCCCTCCCAGCTTCTTGTGCCCCTCCAGCCTTCTTGCTGGCTGGGCATGAGAAGCTGAAAAATCCTTGACTTGGGATAAACACTAGTTAGCAACAACTGAAAACCTCAGTGTGTTATCAACGTTATTCTCATACTGAACCCAAAACATAGCACTATACCAGCTACTAGAAAGAAAATTAACTCTATCCCAGCCAAAACCAGGACAACGTTCATTAATGGCTTCAATACAAAAAGCAGGAGTTGGCAAAGAAAATTTAGTCATAACATATTTGGGAAGTATCAGTACAACAAAGACTCAGAAATGCCATAGAGAAAAAACAGGAAAACTGGAATAATGAAGTGAGAAAAATATGACAGGAGAAACTCAATCTGCTGTAAACTGGAATTTACCAACTGGAGGTGACTAAGGAAGAGGAAGCCTGTTACATTAGCTGATTGCAAGGTAACATCATTAAAATGGGCTAATACATGAAAATACACCATAGTCACACTTCTGCAGAGCTTACCAGCTTTTTTCCAAGCATCAGATATAACAGAATGATTAGTCTTTCTGCCAGAACTTCTGCTTTTCCACATAGGGAAAATTTTATTTCATTTAGCCACTGCTGAATGCTGCTATCCATCAGTAAAGAGGCAAAGGGAGGTATTGGAAGAGTCTGAACAGTAGCTAGAGGTGTACCATTGCCAGGACCTCCTTTCCAGATAGTGCTCCTGCCCAGTGAATACTCAGTGCTGACCACAATATGCTTATGAAGGTAATAGTGGATGAAACCTACCTGCTTAACAGGAATTGTCTTGCAAGGCTGACAAGCATCTTCCTGCCTTGCCTTCAGAGAGAAGTCTGCTCAAACATGTGTCTCTCAGCCTGTGGAAACAGCGTGCCTCTTTAATTAGGTGAACACATATCTAGTGGCATTTGGATTGACTCTCAACTCTTAGCCATACCCAGATGAGCTCTAGGTTACCTGGGGCAAAACGAGACCAACAGCATTGTCTGTAGCCCTTGTAACATGCCTTTAATCCACATCAGCTCCTGCTGCTGTTATTCTTAAAATCTGGCCAGCCTTTATAATTTTCAAGCAGCTTAATGGCATCTCCCAGCTCTGGCCTGTGTTCCTCCAACTAGATTTTTTTGTCTCTTCTGCATTAAACTTGTCAGGATTTGGATTGGGTTTTTAATCTCTTTAAGGCTAGACAAAGTTAAGGTAGTACATAAATGTTTAATGGCTTAACTGGCAGAGCCATTGCTTGGGATGGTAGCAACTAGGGTTTTAATCCTATTGCAGGTTTTCCATATGGATAGTGGCATTTTTCACTGTTGAATCAGAATCAATTGTTCAAATGTCAAATGCTCTAATGGAAGGTTGATAAATGTCATTTTTCACTCTATGAAGATTCATATATAAATCTGTCATATGTGCTTGCTGGAAGCTTTCTTCAAGTGACCTCAATTAAATATCAACCCAGCATGAATACAACTTTTGCTTCCAGAGGCTGCAGTGATTGAAGTGTGATAGAAAGAAAGAGTGTGCTGTGCTGCATGCACTGAACACAGATTTATTCTGCTGCTTGAATGGTCTTTTCCTTGGTTGTTTCTGCCCCTCTGAATAAATACATTTGGCCACGTGTTTGATTGGGGGGTCAGTTAGATACCCGAAAAACTTCACAGGTGGCTTATGTTTCTAGTGACTTCCTAAAGGTTACACCTGGTTTATAAGTGGAACAGTAAAACATTTAGCTTGCTGCTGGAGCCACATCAAAAAAAAGGAGAACCTCACACCAAGGGGAAATAACATCTCCCAGTTCATGTAGTTCATTATCTTAAACCCTTATTGATATTATATCCAAATTAATTATGCATTTCTTGCTTTTCTAACACTCCCACTTCGTCTTTCTGTCAGCAACTGCAAGGCTCAGCCCTGCTTCTTTCTTTCAAATCAAATTGATAAGGAGGCTCCTAACAGTACTGGGGGGCTGGGTGTACATTAGTGCTTAGGAGATGTCTCCAGCACATCCTTATTAGGAGGCATATCCAGATGGAGCACATACCACAAGCCTTTTCAAAACAGAAGAGAGTTGTGATAAGGAGAGGAACAGAGTAATCCCCAAGTGTAAATCTCAGGGGCTCCCTATCCACTGGAAGGCAATAGATCCTCATGGGATCCCCAGGAGATGAGATACTATTTTAATGAAGCTTATGCCATCTGTTTTTCTATTTTGCATTTTTAATTTCCCTTCTCTGTGCTGAAATCCCCATCCAGACTGTCTGTCTGTCTTACGTAGCAGTCGATGTTACAGTTTGTGTTAAAACAGAATGGGCAACATGGCAATTGGTTGGAGTGCTGAAGGACAAGCTACAGTGGTGACGAGGGACTGTGGTAGTGGCATCTTCGTCAGCACATCCACCACACTGGGAGCTTGGCAGTAAATCTCCCACATCCCTGTCTGCAGATGAACATATGGGGGAAGAGGCAGACAGAGACACTTGTAACAGCCTTCATCCCTCTGAGATACCTGTTGCCTTAGATGTAAGCACCTCCTCTCCTTGGACTAGATAGAAGCACTGGTTTTGGAAGACTGCTCAGTGGGATGCCTAAAAGCATGTGAAAAATGAGTGTCTAAGCTAGGCAAACTGGGTCCACCTTAAGACTGAGCAAGCTACATGCAGATAAT